GGTTACTTTGTATAAATCTCTTTGAGCTTAATTGAATGAAGTGAGCAAACTACAATTATTTTTTCCCACTTCTCAGAGAGAATCTGCTTCATTACTCTAAAAGGCGAATGCCGTAAATTAGTTCCCACTCGATAACGTGACACGAACAAATCAAGGTTAGCTCAATAACGACAACTATGCGAAGGTTTAAGTTTCTAGCACAATCATTCATAACTAAAATATTTGATAATATTTCTAGATGAGGTGTTAGACTTCCTTGATTATGACGGTTTACATCCGCAAAGGAAGGAAGGTCACGCAAGAAGCGTTCCAGGCGAGCTAAAGTTGATTTATTGAGACGAGAGGCCCCTCAGCCGTTTTGGTTTCTGTGTTCAGCTGGTTGTCAACCATTCGAAAAATCTGATGCTCACTCTTATTAGCTTCTTTGGCTTTGTAAATGAGACCGATGGTTGAGCAACATGCATAAGGGCGAGATATTCATGTATAATTCCTGTGGTCCTACAATTCGGAATAACTGAGGATCAAACCGCTAGTATGTCCGAGTAATTTAGTATTATCAACTGAGTTAATAGCGTAATTTTCCCACCGTAAAGAGTTGTAAAGCTGACGTTTCGAGCGTTAGCCCTTCGTCAGAGCGACTAGATGAAACTCTTTACGGCGGCCAGTTTACGTTGTTAACTCACCTGATAATGTTAAACTACCCAGTAATACTCTCCCACCGACGCAGCACCACAGTTTCGCTAGTATGTCCGATGAATTAAATCCAATGTCTACAGGTCTACAGTAACGTACTTACCTTGTTGGACAGTGACTTACCTGAGAAGCGAATGACATTAAGAAATGTGATCATATATGAGATGAAACCCAATCTCGTTCCGGCTAATTCAGGCTATTTACCATGGAAGGAATGAGTGCTGATATTTATATTCAAAGTCTCTTCATAATTTCCTCTCCCGTGACCACACGAAGATAACGTGATAACACTTGTAGTTACCCAAAGCTCCCTCAGCACTAATTGTAAGTAACCTCATTGTAACATGCAATATTATTATTTAGATTGCATTAAATACTCTTGTTCAAGCTTTCATTAATGCACGGTGTTTCTGACCAATTTTCATACCCAAACTAAACATTGATACCCGGAAATGGTCACAAGATATGTGAGTTTTAAAGGGTGGGAATCTGGAAAAGCAAGGATCCTCCTTTAATTGAGACTGAAATTAATAGGGGCCCTCCTATTTAATTCATGTTTTTACTTTGACCTGCCTCCTCCCCTGTAATGTTTAGGGCACATAGATGAAGAGAACATTTTTTGTATTTTGACACATGAAAGTTTAATTAATTGGCGTCCACATAATGCACCAAGAAAGAATATAAATGCCTTAGCTTAATAGGTTAAAAAAAAGTTAGACAGTTGTACAGACCAAATCTTACTTTTTATCCTCCTTTGGATATTTATCCAAATAACGTAGTCACTATCAATCTCATTCACTCTCACTTTCCACTGATCTTGTGGAAATAAGGAAAGATTCATTAGTACAAACTTGGTCTAATTTGTACATGAAAGGGATTGTTCCAGGTAGGCTAACCTTAAAATGTAGTTGTGAAAATTTCTTGAGCCTGTCGTCGAACGAATGTTTGACTCAATTTTTCCCCACTAACCAACTTGTAAATTAAATAAATAGAAACTTGAAATATATTTGTTATCCTTTTGAGGTGTGCATCAAAGTTTCAAATTCATCGCAGGCTTGAACTACAGGTTTAGAAGAAATCTGCATATGTTTCAGCATATAAAACTGGGATCATGGCTAGATCGAATGACTTTACTATGTGCCATACTGGTACTGGCAAGTGTTGTAAAAAAATTTGCTTAGCTTTTTCATTAGTTCACATTTATATTTCTAAGAGTCTTGTTTATCCGACCTATGCTGAATTTTAATTTTCAACCAAATTTTCTTCTCTTTTGAATGTTCTTAGATCTCCTAGTATCAGTTAATAATAATGTAAGCCTACGCACCAAATTTATATCTTAAAATATTGTAACCTTCTTAAAACCAGTTCATCAGAATAAGAATGAGTTACCAGACACAAGTATGGTTTTCACAATGATAGTTTCCAAGTCTGAAAAAAGTAACTGCCCACTAAAATCCTCACTTCCTTTGCCCTGACAGCCCAACCTTATTTAAACATTGCCAACAAGAACAATTAGCAATTTGATGATACAGACAAGAGAGCCTATTCCCGAATACACCTTCCTCAATCCTCTTGGCTTATTATGGACATGGCATATATGCCACAAATATTCCATTTCCCTGATTAATTATTTTTTATTGCTGTTTACAAGTTGTGGAAAATGGTTGGGATGAAATATAATACAAAGACTTGCCAGTAGATAGTCAAATGACAACTTTTTACTTATCAATAAAATGAAATTCGTTGTTGCGTTTCATGTTAACATGTTGCAACAAATCCAACTTCCAGTAAATTCAATTAATAGCAAACATGAAAAAATACCTTCTAAAACTTTTCGACCTATTTAATATAGCCAATAACAACATTATCTCAACTTTTAAAACTTGATTGATGTTTGGAAATGATTTCTGTGATGTGGAAATGAAATCCAGGTGTCATCTCAAGTTTCTTTTAAGACATCCATGCAATTACAGCAAAGCTTACCGAATTATATAACAGAAAATGTCAGAAAAAGACTTCCTGCATTTCCAGCCAGAGGACAATCATGAAACAAGAATAGCCGAAAGCGACAACTTTTTAAAAAATTACTGGTTCAAACACGAGTTGAAAATAACTTTCTTTTTTAATTTTCTTCGTTAAACAGAGGGGGTGGAAACGTTAGGGAAAAACAGTGGGGTAAGCAATCACACCTGCAACTCCAAGAGAAGATATAAGAGAAGCCCATACGATTCTGGCCAATTGTTTTACTGACTTACTACGCTCACGTGTATACATTTCAATCGACTAGTAACGTCTAGTGCAAAATAGTTTACCGTCGTTTCTTTCAATTTTGGCTCATTTTCCCAAACTGAAATTATAAGTCACGCCTAATAAAATATAATTTCAACTCATGCTGACATCATACACTTCATCTGAAGAAGGAAACATTCCCTATCTTCGAAAATTTGCTCAAAACATCAGGAACAACGACGAAGGTCCTAAGCTTTTTGAAGATACCGCTGACTAGCTAGCGTGTTGATCGCTTTGCGAGTTGTGAGGTTCCAGACCTCGTCTGGTCGCTTATCCCCTTGAAGAAACACTTCTACAGCCAGTGCTAAAGAATTTTATTACAGTTTTAATTCAGTATAATGAAGGGCTGGAAATTAAACTAACAAGAACTCCGCTTTTTGTTTTGGCTAAACTTATGTATTATAATTGAGAGACAAATTCAAATTGGTTAGCGTCTTGTTGACTTTGATTGCTTCAGCAATAGATGTAGCACCGGCATCACTAATAGCATCGTAAGACAAATCCAGATTGGTTAGCGTCTTGTTAACTTTGATTGCCCCGGCAATAAACGAAGCACCTGTATCACTGATACCATTGCGAGACAAATTCAAACTGGCAAGAGTCTTGTTGACTTTGATTGCCTCAGCAATAAATGTAGCACCGGCATCACTAATAACATTGCGAGACAAATTCAAATTGGTTAGTGTCTTGTTAACTTTGATTGCTTCAGCAATAGATGTAGCACCGGCAACACGAATACCATTCTCAGACAAATCCAAATTGGTTAGCGTCTTGTTTACTTTGATTGCCTCAGCGATAGATGTAGCACCGGCAACACAAATACCATTCTCAGACAAATCCAAATTCGTTAGCGTCTTGTTGACTTTAATTGCCTCATCAATAGATGTAGCACCGGCTTCACTAATACCATATAAAGACAAATCCAAATTTGTTTGCGTCTTGTTGACTTTGATTCCCTCAGCAATAGATGTAGTAACGGCTTCACTGATACGATTGCGAGACAAATTCAAATTGGTTAGCGTCTTGTTGACTTTAATTGCCTCAGCAATAGATGTAGCACCAGTATTAGAAATACCATTGCGAGATAAATTCAAATTGGTAAGAGTCTTGTTGGCTTTGATTGCCTCAGCAATAGATGTAGCACCAGTATTACTAATACCATTGTAAGACAAATTCAAATTCGTTAGAGTCTCGTTGACTTTGAGTGCCTCAGCAATAGATGTAGCACCAGCAACACAAATAGCATTCCCACACAAATCCAAATTGGTTAGCGTCTTGTTGACTTTGATTGCCTCAGCAAGACATGTAGCACCAGTATCATCAATACTATGGTAAGCCAAGTACAAAAAGGTGAGATTCAAACCAGTTCCAAAAGACTTTGCTAAATGTGAGTGAAAATCGCTTTTTTCTCTTTTACATTCGTTTATGGCCTCCAATACAACTTTTGTACCACGGACTTTAATTTCGTTGACTTCATTTATTAAACTCTGTACAAGTGCCACAGCTTGTTCATCGCATTTCATGCCTAAAATTCCGCATGAAAACAAAAGTACTTGTTTAAGGTCAAAGAAATACCTTGGATCGGAAACTAGTTCTTCAGGTATAATTTCCCTGCTTTGAATCTGAGAACAAATGAAGAATGCTGCAAAGCATTCTTGAAAACTTTTATGTAAGAAAGCATAATGCCGTTTTTGTCTCAATTTGCTGCCACCAGGCTGCACTGACAGAAATCCAAGCTCAGTCAAGTCTTTTGCATGCTTTCCCAATTCAGTTTCATCAAAATCCAACTTGCCGTTAATTAAACCATTCAACGCTATCCACCCAAGGTGATTCAGTAGCGGTTTGTAAAGGTTTATCAGGTCTACTCCCGTTTCTAATATTCCTTTCTTTTTCCTATATCTTCTCAAGACACATTCAACCATATCCAAGTACAGCTGAGCTCTGTTTTCGGGGAGTGTGCCCTCAAACTCTTCGCATAAAAGACAAAGAAGTGCTGTGTTCAGAGGATTGGCTGTCAT